TTATTTCTCTTATTTCTCTTCATTTGCATTGCTTATCAATTTACCACATATCTATTACTAAAGCGTTATAAAAATATTCTTCTATTTCTTTTTTTTAATCATTTCAATTCTTCCTTTTCTTTTTTACAATTATTTGTTTTTCTTATATATATTTTAAGTATTTTTTTATTTTATTTTATTTCTCTTATTTCTCTTCATTTGCATTGCTTATCAATTTACCACATATCTATTACTAAAGCGTTATAAAAATATTCTTCTATTTCTTTTTTTTAATCATTTCAATTTATTTATTTTTCATGAATATATTCTAAATATATTTACATACACATTCATATTTACACACACATATATATATAAATATATATATTTTTTAATCAATTTATTTTTTTTCTCTCATTTATCTTCACTACATTGCTTTTTAATCTAACCCTCATAGCTGTTGGATGTTCTTCTTGTGTAATCATGTTTATATTTTACTAATTTTACTAACTATTTTATTAATTAGATAAATTAAATATATATATTTATATAATTATATACATTTTACATATAATTAAATATATGTATATATCTTTAAAAAAAATGTATTATTGATATTTATTTTTCTTATATATACAGTACTGTATACTTTATATTTGTCTTATTTTTTAAATCTTATTTCTCTCACTTATCTTCATTTGCATTTCTTATTAATTTACCACTTACAGCTGTTACTATTGCTTTAAAAAAATATTCTTCCTTTTTATTTTTCAAAATAATTTCTATTACTTTTTCTTAAATATATTTAACATGTCTCTTTTTTTTTATATACATTTATTTTATTTCTCTCCTTTCTCTTCACTGCATTGCTTATTAATTTACCCTTATAGCTGTTTATATGTTCCTCTTGTTTAATCATGTTTCTATTTTACTTGTAAGTTTAACCTGATACATAAACTTTTAAAGTTTTAAAGTTTATCTTAAGTAAAGAACAGCAGACTAAACGTGGGACTGTGTGTATATTTCTATGTAACCTGTTAGGAATGAGATAAAGATGAATTTAAACATAACTGGACTGACTAGGGGTGGGACGGTTCACAAAATCCACGGTTCGGTTCGATTCACGTTTTCGTGGTCACGGTTTTCGGTTCGGTTCGGTATATGTTGATTGTTAGGAAAATCTATTATGTCTTGTATAGTCAGGTTAAAACTGAAAGAAAAAAGCAGTCTGACATTTGATACGTCATTGTGACAGTCTTAGGTTAAAAGTAGGTGAGATTCTGGCAGAGAGGAAACAGTGCTAATTCCAACATGTGCTTCCCTCTAAATGTAAACTGGTCCATACAGCAGACCTATCAGACCTGTCTGATTTTTATCGGCTAATCTGCTTCTTCTTCTGGTTTCCTACTGGTGGTTGGCTTTGGGCGCAGTAGCGCCCCCTTCTGCTCTGGAGTGTAAACGCTTCCCTCTGAGAAAAAGGAGCAGCAGGAACCGAACAAAACACACGCGAACC